TTTTGTGCAATGGATATTGAATCTATTGAACATATCTTTTGGCAATGTTCTTATACGCAACTGTTTTGGAGGGATTTAATAGAATATTAAAAAAAAAAGAATATTATTATAGAAATTAATTTGAAAACAATATCTCACTTAATTACAAGCACAGATACACAAAAAGGTGCAAAATACTTTATCATATATAGTTGCAAATTTGGAAAACGCACACCACACTTTAACTCATTTTTACATTATTTTCGGAGCAGACTATGTATTGAAAAATGTATTGCATTTAATCGAGATAAACTGGAAACTCATTTTCAAAAATTTTCAAGAATTTTCCCAGACACGAATATATAACATATGGAAATACCTTACTTACATGAAATATAAAACAATTATGTTTCAAAGCAGTCAAAAACTGTAGATGTATCTTCTGTTTTTTGTTGTTGTTCTTTTGTATTTAATTTTTCACCCCCTTTACTTTCCCTTCTTGTTTTTGTTTAAATATTAGGTTACACTAATACGAGTATCGTATTGCCGATGGTACCCGAAATGTATGTGTGCTGTTTTGTGTGTGCTGTTTTGTGTGTGCGTTATGTCCGAAATATGTATAGTTATAAATCCTGTTGGTATCTATGAATTGGAAATGTGTGTGTATGGGTGCGGATGTGTGTGTGTGCGTGCGTGTGTTTGGGTGTGAAAAAAAAACTCTTTGTGACCATACTTTTGTATTATCTGGACAGAAGTTTATTATATGTTATTGGCACTATATTACTGTATGATCACTGAGAAAAAAAATAATCATAATGAAAAAAATAATAAGTAGTAGGAGAATATTACAAAATCAATCCTTATCTGGGGAATGTCTGTAGTGTGTTCTTGGAATGTGATATGGTGTCAATCGATCGATTTTGATTGCTAGAGGAGTTCCAGTCGATTCTGTTTATTTTCAAAGAAGGGAGAGGTTATAGTCGCCGCCTTGTAAAAAATCTTGAAACAAATTGATCCCTCGGAAGCATTTATCACAACACAATTACAAGAAATTGCAGACTCGGTTTGATTGAGTCTGTACATGAGGGATACTAAATAAGTTTAACATCCTTCACGCCCCTAACTCCGGCATGAGCGATACTCAATTCTCAACACTTGATAGTGCTGGCATCAATGATCCCGAAGGACCAGAAAAATATAACAAGACTGAAGTGAAGTACGGAGCAACTTTTTTACAGCTGCCACACAGCACTTGATACCTGCTGTTGTGAAGTATAAAAATCTGGAAACAAAGTGATCCCTCGGAAGCATTAATCACTACAAAATTACAAGAGAATTGCAGACTCGGTTTGATTGAGTCTGTACATGAGGGATACTGAATAAGTACAACATCCCTCTCGCCCCCTAGCACCAGCTTGAGCGGTACTCAATTCTCAACACTCAGTAGTGCTGGCATCAATGATTCCGAAGGACCAGAAAAATATAACAACACTGAAGTGAAGTACGGGGCAACCTTTTACAGCTGCCACACACCACTTGACACATGCTGATGTGAAGTATAAAAATATGGAAATGAAGTGATCCCTCCGAAGTATTAATCACAACAAAATTACAAGAGGATTGCAGAAGCAGTTTGATTGTAAGTTTGTCCTTCATTCCGTCCGTGCGTCCTTTCACCCGTCCGTCCTTCTGCCAGTCACACTCTTGTCCGGGGTATAACTTAAAATACATTGAAGAAATATAATTTAAAGTGAAGTGGTTCACAATGTAATGCATGTTGCAAGTATTCAATGAATAATTATGTTGATAGTATTTATTATCACACATAGCAAGAAACCACGAAATAATTCTATAGTGTTTTTTGGCAAGTTTGAGATGCATGATCGGACATTATATATACGTATAAAGCAACTAGAAAGGTATTGCAAGAATGTTATAAACACATCACACAGTGATAGAAACCAGGGAGAGGGTGAGTGTTGTCCAAGATCTTTATTGCCCCCCCCCGCCCCCCCCCCCCCCCCCCCTGTGATATTATAATGCTAGTTACACTATTGTTTATAATTTTTATATAGTCTTTCAAGCGTGATGGCAACCTACCTTGGATCATTGGATGGCCTTCTAACAAAAGCGACATTGGTCAAGATCAAGGGCAATGTTGCTCAAAAACACCTTTAATCACACATCATTCGTTTAATTACTAATGTGATTCATATTTAGAAAGTAGATACTTAAGGAAGTCATCGTACTTTATGACGCTATCGAACAGTACGACACTAGGGTCAAGGTTTCCGATGCTTAAAACATTGTTTCAAATACGTTTGCGTATTAAAAAAAACCTTTATAAATTGACTGGTGTCTTATTTATTCAGTTGTCACACACTTCTTTGTCGATTCCGTTCCGGCACAAAATAGGGAAAGAATGGCTTATCTGTTGTAATAACGAGGTCCATTATGCTGTCACCTGCGTCATCAAGAGCTAACAACTTCCTATGTTTATCATACTTTGGAGGCTTAGAAAAAAGTAAAACAATTCAGTTATCTTTACTGTACGAGCCAGGCGAAACGAGAAAGAAAAGCCAGCAACAAACTTGTAACAATAACAAATTTATTACAGAAAAATTATTAAAGAAAAATTAAATAACAATTTATGTTTACACATACCTGAATTCCAAATAAAAATGTAAATATCAAATGTCTAGTCTGATCCTGAAATGATCCCTTTTTGAACAGCAAAGTTAAATCCAAGTTAAATCCAAGAACACTTTAGAATAACTTCCCACAATAAAATCCATAAGAATAATTTAATCTATTTTCAAATCCAAGCTCCAATAAATTACTTAATATCCAAGTTGAATGATTCTCTAAATGAGCCGTGTCACGACAAAACCAACATAATGGGTTTGCGACCAGTATGGATCCAGACCAGCCTGCGCATCCGCGCAGTCTGATCGGGATCCATGCTGTTTGCCATCAGTTTCTCTACTTGTAATAGGGTTGGTTGGCGAACAACATGGATCCTGATCAGACTGCACGGATGCGCAGGCTGGTCTGGATCCATGTTGGTCGCAAACTCATTATGTTGGTTTTGTCGTGACGCGGCTCAAATGTATTGATGACTTAAAAGGTAACAGATGACTTAAAAGTTAACTGATGACTTAAAAGGTCACTGATGACTTAAAAGGTAACAGATGACTTAAAAGTTAACTGATGACTTAAAAGGTCACTGATGACTTAAAAGGTAACAGATGACTTAAAAGTTAACTGATGACTTAAAAGGTAACTGATGACTTAAAAGGTAACTGATGACTCAAAAGGTAAAGGTAATGAAAAATGTACCCTTATAGAAATATAAGCTAAGAACATACCAGATCTGTCTCTTATATTCTACAGTAACCATAATCTAAAACCTTCAATTATAAAGAATAACCTGGACATTTCTATCTAAATATAATGCATGAATCATAATCTAGAATTTTCTACAACAGTTAAGAAACTTCTTGTACATACATGTAGTTTATGCTCTAAAAATAGAACAATGATAATTTTGAAAATACCAACTTGTCAGAGATAAACTATATACATGTAATATGTTGCATACATAACATTACGTGTTGTTAATTTATGTTTTTTTTTATAAATAAAAACAACATACGAGGCATGTACCGCGCTTGTTATTTTGAATTTGTCTATATGAATTCTGTGTACGTTTGATTTCGAAAATATCACAAAATGTAAGCCTGTGATCAGCGTTTATTCACAACTTCAGCAGGTTGTAAGATGTTTCTCTAATGTAACCCATTTTTCCAATATTTGATTTCCTCTGGCTGAGACTTTCCACTTTTTACTACTGTTTTGTTTATGGCCATGTCACTTGTAAAGTACTGGCGATACATCAATATAGATTCGCACGAAACTGTGCGCTGCGCAAATCTACGGAATACCGTTAGGGCCATTGCCTATAAATGTGTTGATCTGAAACGCGATAGTCGATAGTACGATGGTGAAAACGCGAAATAACGAAACTACGATGGTGAAAATGCGAAAGCACGATGATGAAAACGCGAAAGTACGATGATGAAAACGCGACAGTACGATACTACGATGATGAAAACGCGAAAAACTATCGTGTTTTCACCATCGTACTGTCGCGTTTTCACCATCGTAGTTTCGTGATTTCGCGTTTTCATCATCGTACTGTCGTGTTTTCATCATCGTACTATCGCGTTTTCACCATCGTACTATTGCGTTTTCACCATCGTACTGTCGCGTTTTCATCATCGTACTGTCGTGTTTTCATCATCGTACTATCGCGTTTTCACCATCGTACTGTCGTGATTTCATCATCGTACTATCGCGTTTTCATCATCGTGCTTTCGCGTTTTCACCATCGTAGTTTCGTGATTTCGCGTTTTCACCATCGTACTATCGACTATCGCGTTTTAGATCAACACATTCATAGGCGATGGCCCTAACGGCATTCCGTACAAATCACAGTTTTGTGTAAATTTGGTCAAATTAAATGACGTCAGCAGACCAGACGATGCTCACGAGATATTTAGCCAACACAAAGGTTCACCGTTGGAGGTATAAGATGCACGTGCTCAGGGACTTTACACATGCACGGTTATATTATGATATTTTATGAATTATGTATCTTATCCTATGTTGAAGAAAGTGAATGGTAAAATAATTAAAAATATATTAAAGGATTTGTCTTCATATATATTGCATGCAAACTGTGCGTTTTCTCCTTATCTAAAAATACCGTTTATGTGGTTTTGTTCTTTAAAACCGTAAAACGTAGCTTTTAATAATAATAATAATAATAATAATAATAATAATAATAATAATAATAATAATAATAATAAAAATAGACAATTTGTAAAATAAATTAAAGATCCGTGTTTTGAAATTCATAGTACCTTAATGAACTATGAATTAAACATTCATTTGTCTGTTGATTGCATGATTTTTAAAGTACTGAAATGTTTTCCTTCAGGAACATACTTATTTCAAGTGTTTTGTCAATGATGTGCCCGGGAATTTAGGGGAATCTTCAGTTTGTAACACAGAAACTACCACTCTTCCAGGAAAAGTATATTTAAGGTAATTTTGTCGCAAGCCTTATTAATGCTATAATAAAATTATCATTGTGTGATGCTTTTTCTTGTGAAATAAATCAAAGTGTACATATATTTGTTGGAAGAAAATGGCAAATCTCCCATACTAATGTGTGACCGTGTTATAAATACTTAGATACTTAAGATATGTCATCTATTAAAACGACAGCACCATCAACTGAAACGGCATCACCATCCATTAAAAACCAGTGCACCATTTATCAAAACCACAGAACAATATCTAAAGGTATATGAAGCAATTGTATCCTAGATATAACCGCATGTCAGAGTCAACAAATTGTGTTTTGTCCGCAAATCGCTTATCCTTGAATGAGAGATCGTAAGATCTGTTAATAATAAATATATTTTAAATACGCTTCTGAATTATTTTGTTCAAACTTATGTATCGTAGAATACTGCAAATGAAATACATTTCAAATTGACCTCTTGAATTGCAGGAGAACACGAGGTCGTTTTTTCACATTTGCATTGAAGGCAAACATAACAGGCGACATGTCATTTCAGGTGTTCATATCGAGTATAGAAGCACGTAAGTAAACTTAACTTCATAAAGCTAAAGAGAATAAACTCGGAGAAATATTTTTGCTAATGATTCACCATATTCGATAGAAATAAGTAGTTAAACATGTTAACTCAAACATAGCAAAAACAGTCCATAAAGTTGCTGACTTCTTGAGATTATTATTGAAACTATTTTCTAATAATTCATTAGTTGACATTTGAATATTCTATTATGGGAATGAATTATTTAAGTCAGTTTAGTTTTACGAATCAGTCTAGTTAAACAATGAGTGTAAAGTGTAATGCTCACAGAAACAACGGATGGCCACTTGCTATATTTGACCCATGAGGCCAGTATCTCTTACATTGCCAGTCTGGTGTGTTAACCCCTCGGCAACGCCGCCAACTGGTGATTTATTTGCGCACGTGTTTCAATTTCTTACTAAAAAGACTTTTTTTACAAAGAAACCTCAAAGCATACTGTTTCCTTCTGGTAAAAATGGAAAACTGGCGTTATCCGACTGGAATCTGAATCTGGCACGATAATGTCACTTTGCAATCAATACTCCATTTTCAATGATCTTTCAGTAATTGTACAGTACAAATCATTAATTTTAACGGTTGCAAACATTTTTTACAATATATATTTTTTTTGTTTGAATATATATTTGTTTGTGTCAATCGCAACTTTTCGGCCCTTTCCATCAGTCTTCGGAAAGGACCTCGAACACAATAGTATGAATACACAGAACTAATACAGAATTCCGGTCTAACCTACGCTAAGAAAGTAAATAAGTCAATTCATAGATACAAAAGAAAATAACACATTATTTATATATTAATTATTATGGTTGTAGAAACCGAAAGTTCAAGGTACCTTAAGTCGGATTTGTTTAGATTAAATGTCAAATATATACATTCGTTTTACATTTCACTCGCTGTTTCTGTTTACATCTGAAATCACGTGGTAGAACCACTTCACTTCGTATTGTTTCCTAGGTTATTATAGATAATAGCCGATGACATTCCGATTGTGCTTGTGTAAGAGTTGTAAGACATTTTCAATTTTTTTGTCTGTAGAAAATGGTGAGGCATGCTTTGAAAGTATTGAAATAGACGACAAACAGATACCAAACAGTCAGGTCACTGTTTCCTCTGGAACCACAAATCACATATCAACACATTTAAACACTATTTTGACTGGTTGGCGTCATGCTGCTTCAGATCCTCAGACACCTTGGATTTTGGTTTGTTTAATTCATGTCAAGAAATATTATCTCATATTAGCAAAAACGAAAATGCATTGGGGAATACTTTTAATGGAAATAAATTATTTTTCGCATGTATTTATTATAATGTTTTAACCTTTTAAAAGTGAAAGCATTGATATATTATATTTCTTGCTGCATCTACTTACATGTTTGATTAAATTCTTTTTAAGATATATCCCAAACAGTGATTTTATCGCTCAATAAAATCACTGTTTGGAGTTCGGATGCGATTAATTAAATCACGAGGGCGTAGCCCGAGTGATATTATGATGCGCATCTGAACGACAAACAGTGATTTTATCAACCAATAAAATAACCGATTTAGATATATTTTTTCGATTCTAACACGATATCAACAAATAAATGCTACCGCACTTGATATTAATCTAGATTGCGCCTTATTTGTTTCCATACTTATTTTCAGCGCGTCTCATTTTAGTGGTTACGTCACGTGTAAAATGATTACGTCACATGTCTAAATATATAATGTCAAACTGTTATTTTATTGTCTCATAACACACACTTTCGTTTCTTCTATGTTCAATAGGGAATATGCGGGTCATGCTAGAATAAGATAATTACAATAATACATGATGATTATATTTTCGTCAATTTCTTATCTATATGCGAGTTTTGCTTTGAATAACAATAATCTATTTTTTCTTGGCAACTTGTTATCTCTATGAAATAGTTATTCCGTTACTATTTACAACTTACTGTATTTGTGAAACTAGTCTTTCTTTAAAGTAAAAGGATTGAAAGAAAATAGTTAAGTTATGCTAGCTTATAACATGTAGGGGAAATATATGTATGTATGAATTGTTATAAATATGTTATCTAATGTAATATAATTCAAAGCTAACACCCTTAATTATATAGTTCTCTCCGGTTTTGAAATAAAGGAAATTTGAAATGTTATTGATGCAAATATCGCAAATACCTCTATTTAGAAAAAAATAAGATATTTCCTAACTTAAAACATGTACTGGTTGCTAGTCAAATGAGCTAATTGAAGCGTGATGTGAATGAGATTTCAAAAAAAAAAAAGTCACAACTATTAAACAAAATTATATAAACATTTTAAACTACTTCATCGAAGTATTTTTTTTCAAACGTAAGACAAAAATTAAACATTGTTACGGTTGAATGCACACAAACTTCATCACTGTAGTACAAACTAGCAAAGCTCTTTTTGGCTCAGTTGTCTTGAGTGTGTAAGCGAGAGGTTTGAAAAACTAGTATTTTTCTAATGCAGATGCAACTTTTTTCTGCGATTATAAAATTATCGTAAGAATATGTATACGTTTTGTTCAGATACCTTATTTGTCAATTTAAAACAATTCAGATATATGTCAACAAGTTTATTACACATAATATTTATCAATTTAGATTGATTTAATTGCTGCTACAACAATAGAAGGAGTTGGTGTTTACGTTTCCAAAAAACATCACATGTGGACCACTTTCAATTTATATTTCGGCAACAATAAGGATACCTTACAGTTGTACAAGGATATGGTATACTCGTTTGTTTAAACATATAAAAAACTCATAAACATTGATTTTAAAGAAACATCACTCACTTATTATGCTTACTCTCGTAAAAAGAAAAAAATAATGTTTTTAAAAGAAAACTTTTGTCATTTGTCCTAAGGAAGAAATTTACACATTGAAGACGGAATTTAAAATCTACGAAAAATACCAAAATTAGGTCAGAATATGCATAAATATCATGTACTGCGTCAGCCATGCAGTAACAATATGGTGATCAGTCATTAACTGTATATAACTTGAATTGTGAATAGTTTTACTTTTCTTAAAATCTTAATACATTTTTCTCAAGATTGATTTTCTTGAAATATTTTAGAGGCATGCATCTTTAATACATATAGTTTTAACTCATTGTTTATGTTTAAGTCTTCCAGATAGCAATAATGGAAGTGTTTATTTATATATTTATTAAATGTTTTTCGATAATTCAAATTTTGTTTCAAATGCTGTATGACGCCAAAAAGTGTATTTCACCTAAAAAATCAAAAGTATTTCTAAACTGTGAAATTATTTAATAAAGGAACATAGAAACACGATAGTTTTTTCCTTGTCAGAAATGTAACCGTTACTATACGAGTAATGTCTTGTTAACTAGTATATTAAAAATTAACAACATCACAAAGTATCGGCAGAATTATGGAGAATATAATGTTATGTCAAGTGTTTCACGTTTGCATTGTTAGAAAGTAACAGTAAGGTAATTTAAATTGCGATTGTGTACATTGTTCTTTTGTTTGTTTGGATATGTCCGCGCTTTAACGATAATTTTTTAACTATTTCCCGCGATAAACTGTTCCAGTAGAGTATCAAGGGTAAGTGATCAACACGGTTTAAACTCACCATACTACAGATAATAATTGTAATGTTATTGCATTTACAAATGTATTTTAAGAACGGTAAATGCGGTGTTAATTTGTTTGTGTTAAACAAGGGAACTCCTGTCTCTTAAAGTAATAAATGTCAAAACACTTCTCTATGAATTAAAGTGTACCAAAGCTCCTTACGTTATTTCAGTTTGTATATTAAAACACACATACACCCATTAAATTTAGATTTAGCCATACTTTTATAGCTTAAGAAATTCTTATTGCAGTTTAGATGATTTATCTTAATACTTGTATATTGCTTTTAAACTTAACGAATCAGACATTTTGCATTATTAAAACCAAACCAATTGTCAAAAAGGATGTTGATATATCAATCGAGCTCTGGGAATGAAACAAAAAAATGTGTTATCACGTGTAATTGTGATTCATTATTTCAGGAATTTAAAATATTTCCACATGCAAACTGGTGGAATAAAGACAAAGTGTTTATTCTTCCGAGACCAATCAACGGGAGATACGCAAAATTCAAACATTCACTTGAAAAGCCAAGACGCAAATTTAAATCTCTTCAGTTCAAACTGTTCGGCTGTAAACTGACACGTAAGTTCACAACAAAGGCAGTTGCATCTATGTTTGTTTCATAATAACAATTGATTGATTGTAATGAAATATCGAAAAAAGAAATAATGTGCGTGTACCAATCTGAAACATATTTATTTACCTTTTACATTTCCGAGTTTAATCGTGACGATATATAAAACGTTCACTTTCCTTAATTAAGTCATACATTATATCTCTCATTTAACAGGTATAACTGACATCCACAGCAACAAATTTTCTGATATGCTGCCTCTTACACGAGGATTTCGTTCTGGAGTTTCAACTTCCTTGAAAACAAATCTTACGAGATGTCTCGAACTTTGCAGTATTCATAACAATTGTAGTGTTGCCAGTTTTAGTTCGTATAACAAACTAAATGGACCGGACAACAAACAACACAGACCCCCCAGACAAATCGGAAATTGTTATCACTACATGTATAGTCCGATTGGATTATGGAAAAGAAAGAAAATAACCGATGATGTACATTGTTTTGCCAAACTACGAAACACTGGTATGTAAACATTTCTTAATATAGTCTTGTCCTGGTGAGCTATATAATTAAAAGGAACTACAGACTGATGTGACATACATAAATCAGCATGTAGTAAAAATGTTATAATAATCAGACCTATATTATAGCTGTAGTCGTATCAAAACCGTATATTGTATATACCATATGAAATTCTGGGTGAAAGAGTTCGCAAAGTATGTAGTCGCTGTCAAAATTTACTTTACCTTTGACTGCTTGATGAACAAGTTATATAAGAAAAATGCTAAAACTAATATCCTCCTTTAAATGTAATACATCGCGCCTGTACGCTGTTTTGCTAGAGTTGTCTTAAGCTTGTCTTTATTATGCAATGGAATTCTTGAGAAATCCTATCAATAAGGCATAATTTCATGAGGCCCCATATAAGCTTTAATTCGGGTATTTTCTTTTTTAATTTTAAACAGTACATATGATGTCGTTCCCGAGGGCTAAACACAAAGATGGATTGTTTTTTGGTCACGTTCAATACGTAGATACAGACTCCATTATTACGTCCTTAAGTTATCCCTTCAGGGCGGCAATTTTGGACAGTGATCTGCAATGGATTGTAAACTTCAAACCACATCAATTTGCTAAATTGGTTTTCACATTCGTCTTTTTATCAAAGGTATACATTTATTATATGAAATAAGGTGCTCTCTATGATGCAGAAAGCCCTTATCATTTAATTACAAGCATACAGTTTTTCATATATAAACAAGTTCTTTTTCGACTTTGTAAATAATGAGTAAATGCAGGTATTATTACCGTTAATTAGATACGAATGAATAAGTGTTGTTCAACCTAAGTGTTTGGAGTGGTCCGCCATTTTTGTTAATCCCATATTTGCGTTAATGTGTTGATTTTTATTTTAAACGTGATGGTTTATCAAAATGGATACTGAAAAGTAAGTTTTTTTTTGTTAATGATCGTTACTTCAGTTCTTTTCAAAGACAATAGTATTCATTTATTGACTTTCTGCATCATACTTCTACCGAAGGTGTAATTAGGACAGAATAATGTTCCGTCTTCCAGCAACAGGTCTGAACTGTGAGTCTCTCAGCAAAAATCTAAATTGTGTAAAGACACTTTTATTAAATGCTTTTCACAAGCGTGCTGAAATCAAATTATGGCTCAAATATAAAACTATTCCAAGATATACAAAATGTCGGCGCCAATTTATTTAAGAATTTTCTCAAACATGTAAGCCTAGGACATAGATTTGTTATTAATTTTAATGTGATTTCAATTCAACATATAAACACAAGAGCTATACAGCCCTTTCGAGCCGCATCTTTCCTCAAATAATCACTATAACTTAAACCTTAAACTTAATGTTAAAAGAAATACTTATACATGTACTATTCCGTTTAAAATGCAATGATTTCAATTTAAACATTCTTTTTTTG